AAGATTATAAAAATTGGTACAGAAAAAAGCATTTGACAAAATTCAACATTAATTCATGACAATAAAAAAATAAAACTTAAGAACTTCTCAGCAAACTGGGAACAAAAGAAAAGCTCCTCACTGGATAAATGGAATTTATAAAAACATACAGCTAACTAGTGAAAGAGTCAATGCTTTCTTTCTAAAATTTAGAACAAAGGAAAATGGCTACTGTCATCACTGCTATTTAACAATGTACTGGAAGTCTTATCTCGTGCAGGAAGGCAAGAAAAAGAAATAACAAACATACATACTGAAAAGGAAAACATAAACCTATTACTACTTGCAAATGACATGGCCATCTATGTACAGAATTACAAAAAACCTTAAGGAACAAAATGGAGCAAACAAAAAGTCTCATAGAGTAAGAAGTGAATTTAGCAAGACCACAGAATATAATATCAACACCCAAAAATGAATCTTATTTCTATATACTAGCAATATATAATTGGACTCAAAGTTTTTCAACAATATCATTCTACAAGACATCTGACAAAAATGATGTATTTAGATTTAAATATAATAAAACATAGATGAGATCTGCATGCAGAACAATCACTGAAAGTTAAAAATGACTTAAATAAATGATATACTGTATTAATGTATTGGAAGACCTGGAAACTCAATATAGTACAGGTATTAATTGATCTACAAATTTAATACAATACCTAGCAAAACCTCACCAGAACATTTTGTAGATATAGGTCATTTGATTTTGAAAATCAAATGAAAAGGCAAAGAAGATAGATTAAGATGATTTTGAAAAAGAATAATAGCATTAGAGAGACCACCCAGATTAAAGATGTATTATAAAGCTATAGTAAGGAAGACATTTGGCACTGGTGGAAGGCTTGACACAAATAAATGGTACAGAATAAAGAGTCTAGAAGTAGATTTACCCAAAGAGAACCAATTGATTTTTCCCCACAAGGTACAAAAGTAACTCAGTGAAGAATAGTCTTTTTTTAAAGTGTTTGACATTGTCATGCAAAAAATGGATTTCATCACAAACAAAAATAAACTAAAAATGGGTCATATGTTTAAATATAAAACACAAAACTATGGTAATTTCTTAGAATGGTAAACATACACTTACCAGATGGACCAATAAACCCAGGTATTAACACCTACTTCCCTCAGAGAAATAAAAATTTATATGCACACAAAACATATACTGTACATGAATGTTCCTAGCAGATCTCTTCATACTGTCCAAAAATAGAAACAACCGAAATGTCTTTCAGCAGGTACTATGTATGGTACATTGACACTAGAAATATTCATTAAGAAGGAATTAACGTCAATTTTTTTAAATTAACTTCAACTTTTAAAAAAACAAGCAAATTGGGCCGGGGATTTAGATCAATGGTTCCACCACCTTCCTTGCAAGCGCAAGGACCCGAATTCGATCCCCGGTACCAAAAAAAAAACAACAAGCAAATCACTTGGATCTAAAATACCTCTGTATTCTGTGCTATGCCTAAAAATATCTCACTGCTGACAGGGAAGCTGAAGACTTAGCCAAATAAAGAATGTATTTGCTGATACGTCATATCACACTATGAGCTCTCTCATAAGCGATGGGTTTCCCCGTGTTTTCCTGTCATTCAGTGTGTAAGTAAAAGTGGAGCTGTTGCCAAGTTGATCCCTAGAGAGCCTGTCTGCCCCCTGTGGAGTGGAAATCACTCCTTGTGTGCATGTAAAGGGTTATGAAACATGTTAAGGAATCGTGAGAAGTCTCAAAACATGGCTAGCATTTGCCCTTTCTGTTAATTGTTCTGGAGACAGACGAATTTGAACTCATTTTTCTCCCTTTCTTATTTCACTCAAACAATGCAATTTCAGCTGGAAGAGTGGCCCTTGTAGTCCCAGGTCCTTGGGAGGCTGAGGCAGAAGGAGCACTTGGGCCCTGGAGGAGGGCAAGACCAGCCGAGGCAACACAGTGAGATTCCATTTCACAAACAAACAACTGCAGCCCCTCAAACCTCTATACAACCTCCCTTGATCTGGCATAGCTGTTTAAAATTTGATGTCTCAGGCCAGGGATTTAGCTCAGTGGTTTCGCTGCCTGCTGTGCAAGCGCAAGGACCCGAGTTCAATCCCCGGTACCAAAAAATAAAAATAAAAAACTAAACTAAACTAAACTAAACTAAACTAAAATTTGATGTCTCCATGCAGCAACTGTTTACAAGATCTAAACAAGCATCTCACAATTTTCCTTACCCTATACCAGGTTATAAAACATTGTTTCCTCCCGTGGTTACAATGAAGGGAGTTGAACTAGAGATGGCTGATCCGAGATAAACAGAAGAGACTTCCCACAGAACCTGGAAACTAAATGCAGGAGGGAGGAAAGCTTTGGGAGGTGAAGGGAGAGAGTAAGCATAACTGAGACCAAAGAATCCAGTGACTTCAAAGTCTCTCTTTTATGTGCGAGTGGCTAGCAATGCTGTTATCAGAATTAAGTAACAAAGGAAAAAATAGGCAGAATTATAGATTTGAGAGGAGAGATAAGTATCTTTATTTACTATTTTATTTATTTCTAAAAGTTTGCACAGCTGCATAGTCTCTTGCTTTAGGGTTTGTTAAAGGATCTCAATCAAGTTCGACTGCCACAGAGGGAATACGGTTTTAATACAAAAGGAATCATGAAGCATAATAGATTTGAAGGGATCAGACAGTCATTATGGTTAACAGAGAACACAAACACATAAAAAATAATGGAAAGTTTACAGCAAGACATTCCTCTTGGATCCCGGAACTGAAAGAGGAGGGCGGATTCTCAGACCTAACATATGGTCAGTGACAGAGGAGCTGGAAAAGAAGGGAGCCAGGTCCTCTCTCCATGATGAACTTGGTCCTCGCTGGTGGCCAACTTCCAGGAAGCCAGACCCTTCCTGCTCAAATGATGTGGCTTCCTAAGGACCATAAAAATAGTTTGCTCCCCAAGAAAAGAGTTAAGAATAGAAGCCAGGGGCCGGGGATTTAGCTCAGTGGTTCCACTGCCTGCCTTACAAGCTCAAGGTCCCGAGTTTGATCCCCAGTACCAAACCAAACCAAACCAAACCAAACAAAGAAGAGAAGTCAGGACCCTGCCACATCAGAGTGCAGCTGTCAGTGTGGCCAACAGAAGAGCAGCATTAGCCAAAGCAATGCCGGGAGAATGCCAGGCCAGGAGTGTCTGGTGTGCAGGAGATGGGAGTCATGCACAGGACAGCGACTTTGCAATGCAACAAAAGAGCAGCGGTCACTGTGCAGAAGATCAGAGTGAGGATGGCCAGTCAAGAGGAGAGAGGCAGGGCAAGTGAAGGATTTATGGGGGCCTGTAGTGGGGGTGCCAAAGACCTTCAAGAAACCAAGCCAAGGCACTGTAAAGACCTCACATTTTTTAAGAAAGGTGGGAGAAAATCAAAGCATAAAAGCCTCAGGTTGAGGTGTTTGCTTTCATATGGGGGGGAACCCACATGAATAGCCCACCACCTATCCCAACTGGGAACAAGGGATCCCATACCCATCCCTGGAACAAATTCAACTTTTACAAAGTGATCTCAATCCTAGACATACTTCATTGCCGCGTACAGTTAAATTTCATGAACCTATTGAAAGAATCCATATTGTACATTTGGAAATATAAAACAAAGCCTGTTCTAATGGATTTTAGTCCAAGCAATATTATAGTTCATAGGCTGTTGCCTGATCTTCTAAGAGTTCTTTAAAAAATTATCTAACAGGGCCAGGGATTTAGCTCAGTGGCACCGTGCCTGCTTCCCAAGCGCAAGATCCTGAGTTTGATCCCCGGTACCAAAAAAAAAAAAATCTGACACCAGATATGTATAATCTGCCATAATCTTTCCTTGTGTAACTTCATTAGTGGAACATTAAATATTAAATACAAAAAGCAATTTAAAGTTACTGGTATTTTTTAGATAATTAAATGACCCATTATCCCTAAGTAAACCACCCGATAATCTGAACCTTCTTTTTCAGTACTAGGGATCGAATCCAAGGGTGCCCTGACACTGAGGTACACCTCCAGCCCTTTTGTATCCCTTTAACCTCAAATACAGATTTTAATTAATTTTCTTATTTTATAACCATTTATTGCTGATGGTCATACTTAAATTTCCAAAGACTAAGTGCAAGTGCAATTGCCCCCACCCCACCCCTACATCCATGGGTTCTATGTCTGTGGATTCAACCAACCTCCCATTGAAAATATTCCAAAAAAGGAAAATGGCATCTGTATCATACATCTGCAGACCTTTTTCTTTGTCATTATTCCCTAAACAATAGAGTATAACTCTTTGCATGCTGTTTACATTGTATTAGGTATTATACACAAAGTAGAGATGATTTAAGTGCAGAAAATGTGCACAGGTTATTTGCAAATACTATACCATTTTACAGAAGAAATTTGTTACCCAATCTGTGGATTTGTTATCCAATCTCCCATGGATACCAAGGGATTCTTTTCTCTCTAGAGGCAGTATAATGTGCCAGTTAAAATGAAAGAGCTGGAGCAATGCTTGCTAGAGCTAGACTATGTTCTCAAACTCCAGATCCACTACTTATTAGCTGTGCACCCTTGGCCAAATTATTTACACTTTCTATGACTTAATTTCCTCATCTGCAAAATAAGGATGATAATGATAGTGCCTACCTCATAGAGCTATTGTGAGACTTACTAAGCCTAGACTAGCACATTAGTGAATACATAAGCAGTTAGCAAAATGACTGATAAATACTAAGCACTATGCCTGTTAATTTCTGCTCTTTTCTGCTGCTCCTCATGGTCTTTTTAGTAGTTATACTAGGGATAGCCAAAGTCCACAACTATGCCCATGAAGTTCCATGATTCCCAAAAGCCTGAAAACAAAAATTAAACAGTGATGACATTATCTTTTCATTTCTAATATTCAGTTCATCTCAGTTTAATCAGTGTATCCCTTTGTATTCACCAGAGTTGAAAATATGTCAATGAGGTTGGAAGAAATCAATGAAAGAGAAAATTTCATGAAAACTTCCCTGCAGACTGTTGATCTTCGACTTTCTCAACTTGAAGAATTATCTAGCAGAATGGTGAATGCTCTTGAAAACCTTGCAGGAATTGACAGGTCTGATCTGATACAGACCAGGTCCAGAGCTTCATCCGAATGTGAGGCAACTGTTCTTCTCCGGCAAAGCAGCATCAACAGTGCTGATGGCTACAGCATGTATCGGTATCATTTTAACGGGGAAGAGTTACTGTTGGAGGATACGTCTCTCCCCATGCCCCCAGGGACAGGATTCTGGAAAAGAGCCTGCTCCTTCCGGGTGAAGGAAGAGAAGGAGAAGGGTGCAAAAATACATCTAGCCCCAGAATGTCAAAGCAGCCTTCACTTCTCATCCAGTCCCAGCCCGCCCCCAACGCCAGACTGCAGTCGACTTGCGGTGGAAGACTCCAAGAACACTTCAGAGCCCAAATTAGGTCCAGATATTGGGCTTTCAGTGGAAGAAGATGAAAGGCAGGCCGACTCTAAAAGAGAAGGAATTAGTTTCTCAAGTTTAAATCCAACAGATGTTATGCCTGGACAGAACAAATCAGATTTTCCAAACACTCAGCTAGAGGTGGAAACAACAAAGATAGAAGACACTATTTCCTATCCCCTGGGAGAAACCAAAATTAAACACTATTACCCCGATGAAAAGGTCAATACTTATAAATCAGTGAAGTCCAGAAGCTTTGTGTACTCTGAGGGAAGAAGGCTGGTAGGCGGGCTTAACAACTGGGCTGCAGAGTATGGTTCAATCATGGACCAAGGCTGCCCCTCCACAGTTCAGCAATGGACAACAGAGTGGAAATACCAAGTTCAGAAGATCACGCGGTCTCGCAGCACAGAAATCCCCTGCACCATGTCAGAAGCTGTAGTGGAAGCTGAGCGTAAAGAGCACTCCACAGACACGGAAGATGACAATCACATTTCTCCAAGGGTCTCCCAAATCTCTCGTTTGTCTCTCACAGTTACTGACAGAACCGAAAAAGGAAACTTACTGTCGGTGAAACCCGACCAAACTTTGGGATTCCCATCTCTAAGATCAAGAAGCTTACACAGCCATCCAAGGAACGTTAGATCTGTTCAGGGCAAATTAGACAGATCAGGACATTCCAGCAGTGTAAGTAACTTAGTAGCTGTGTCTGCAATTGCAACAGAAGAACAAAAGGTTAAGCAGGAGAAAACTTCCACAGAAACTGATTGCTGATCAATTGTGTTTCTTTGATTTTTTTTTTCAAAATCGGAACCATGAATGGATGGACAACACTGACCATCTAAACTCTTATCAATTACTGGAAATCTTTTCATTTAAAAAATATTGGAGGGCCGGGGATTTGGCTTGGTGGCACTGTGCCAGCCTCGCAACCAAGCGCAAGGTCCTGAGTTTGATCCCCCACACCGCAAAAAAGAAAAAAAAAGAAGTTGGAAATTTGGACTTAATCAAAATGTTAATGCACTGCATTTAAAAGTAGTATTTTGTTAGCATGTATCAGTAAATTGAACTTTTCTAGATGGAATGGGATCACATAAAAGTGACAATATGCACATAGAGATAAACTGGTTTATTGGGATATAAGATAATAATGACCTCTTTATTCCTAAGGGCCACCAAATAGCCTGAGAAATGCCTTTGGGAATTTAAGTCACCATACATTTAAGGAGTAAGCAACTAAGTAAGAAAGAGAAATTAAAAAGCAAACATTAAAAAGGAGGGGTGGGAAGGAATAAGAAATAAAATTATGAGATAGAAGAAGTGAGAAATGAGGAGTCATATATAAAATGTGTTATTTATGGAGGCTTTTTCTTTTATGTTTTTAAATCACATAATGGGGGAAGATACACCATTATATCAAACACCACACTCTAATGATTCAGAGTTTTGTTAAAGTCTAAAATTAAGTACCTAATATGATTTTTCTTGTTATATACTGCCCATGGCAAACACAAATCAATCACACTTCTGTCTAGATGAGGGTTTGTGCAAACCTGTAGCTAAAACCTAAAGGATATATGTTCAAGAACCACAGAGACTGCCCAAGGCTGAGAATACAAGGCGTTATGCTTTGAGTTCAAACAGTCAAGAGCCAAACAAAAATAGAGATGAATCTCTAATAAATGAACTTTTATTTGGGGAGGAAGAATAGGATTGGAATCTGGGACACACAAGCACATGTCAAGATGGGCTCTGGTATGTCCAGAGAGCAAAGGAAAAGTTAAGGGTTTGGTTTGGACAGAGCAATCTGTGCAAGTAGTTATAAAACAAAGTTCATTAACACTTTCAGGGCTTCCAAGGGCAGCCTCTGGCAAGCAAGGTCACAGTTCTGTTCTAAGGTTAGAGCTGGCAGGGCCATCATCAGTTGCTAAGAAGAAAGAGTCTTAGGGTTAGGACCAGCTGTTGTATTGGGTGGGTTCCATGGGTCGGGTCTCTGAGCTAACGTCCATGACCTGAGTGTTTCCACTCAGAAGAGCACCTCTTATCAGGTCTCGGGCCTCCTGCCTGGAGTCACTGACAAATCTCACTGCAGTAAAGTGCCTCATTCCTGGAAGGAAGCTTGGGATAAAGTATCCAGGGATTGGTAGTGGTAGGACAGGGGTACGTGCCAGACAGAGGTGGAGAATTACCCTTACGAAAGGAGACCTCGCCAGGTGTGGCGGCATACGCCTGCCATCCTAACACTCCGGAGGCAGAGGCAGAAGGATCCCAAGTTGAGTCCAACCTGGGAAACTCAGTGACTTGCTGAGACCTCCCCCAAAATGAAAAGGGGAGAATGGGGAGATTTGGGATATAATTCAGTTCGAATGCTGTGGGCTCAAACAGACTGTCACACCATCATCAACTGGCACGGGAGGAAAGAGAAACAGAGAGAGCCACACAAAGACAGAGACAGAGACCGGAAGGGAGATTGTGGCCTGCGGCACACCAGCAGACCACTGAAGTGGTCAGAGATGATAATGCCTAAACGTGACTGAATCCTTTCTTAAAATAGGACTGTGCTTTTCAGAGCCAGATTAGAATACCTGATCTGGGCTGCATTTATAAAATAAATAAAAATACATAAATGACCGATCAGTGGTTGCCTGGTTGGGGGAGGGCACTTTGAAATTTAATAAATGATAAGTCATTTAACAAATGATTACTCGTTTGTATCTTGCCGCACGGGTATATTTGACCCAATGTTTAACATACTTAATTTTATCTCATTTCTAAATCTTTTCTTTTGATGCACAAAAAAACTTTCAGATTTATTGCCATGTCCTAGAAGAAAACAGATTTCTCACAACAGGTTGAGAAACTTATGACAACGCACCAGAGCTGGTCTGAGGAAGGGGAAGATGACCTTTGGGATTCTCCCCTTCGCTGTTCTCACACACGGCCCTCTTCTGAGGCCTCACCCATCCTCCCCCAGCTATGCAACCTGTGCCGCTCTTTCAATACATAGCTTCAAATATATCATTTTTTATTGTTTTTGTTTCCGGGAATCGAACTTGGGACCCTCCGCTTGCGAGGCAGGCGGCGGCCTCACTGAGCTAAATCCCGGGCCCCAAATACATATTTTTTTTTTTGTATTAAATTCTTTCATTGGTATATTGTAGGTATACAACACAATTACATTTCTCATTGGGAATTGTACCTTTACATGATGCATCTTGGTTCTTATTTTTTCCCCATTCCTAGCCCTCCCTTCACCCCCTCCACCCTTCCCTATTTACAAAGACTTTATTTCCATTTTTTCCATTTCTCAGCATTTTTCCTTTCCCTTCTTTCCTTTCCCCTGCCCCTCCCACTACCCCTACCCCTTTGGACCTTTTCTTCCTATTTTACATTATCGATTATTCATTCTAATCATTGGTACATTTTAGGTATACAATATAGTGACATTCATCATTGGAAATTTGCACCTTTATGGAAAAATAGGAACAAAATCTTTGTAAATAGGGAGGACTGGAGGGGTTGAAGGGAGGGCTGGGCAATGGTGAAAAATAAGAACCAAGAGAGACCAAATACATATTTTTAATGTCAAGTAAGTTATTTTGAACTATGGTTTATAGTATTTGCTCTGTTTCCATATCCTCTTTCTTTTCTTCTTCCAAGCACTCTGATTATTTATATGTTGGATCTCATTTGCCTATCTTCAGTGTTTGCCTCTTTCTCTGTAAGCTGTTTTCTCTCTTTTCATTATTTTCAATCTTAATTTTTTCCTTTTCATCTTCTACTTCTCTTAAGGCATAATCAGTTGTTTTTACATATCCTTGGATTTCTTTTGTTTTAGTCTTTATTTCACAAATACTATTTTTCTCTGCTAATTTAATTCAAGCGTTTCTAGTTCTAATTTATACAGTTCTTTCCTGTTTTAGAAGATGTTCTTAGTATTTTTGAAATAGTAGATGGTAGTTTTGATCTGTTTAGTGGGCATGGCTTTCTGGTATGCTTTTCGTGTGGTGGAATTTTATTTTTATTCTTTTTGTTACAATTATTTTCCGTGGAGTTTTATTCTTTTCTTATTCTCTTTTGTTACAATCATTTTCTGTGGAATGTGATGTCCATACTTCCCTGTGATTATTTTTATCTCAAACTGGTTTTCTTAAACAATTTGAAGGAGGTAGTTTTTTTGAAGGGAAGTGGTTGCAAGGACAGCATTTTTAACTTTATAGTTTAAAACACTGGTTTTCGCTGTGCAGTATTTAAAAAAAAAGTCAGTTTACTTTTGGGGATTCCTCAGTCCCCCATTTTTATTTGGATCTTTTCTTTCCTTTGTCCTTATAGTCTCTATTCTGCTCAAGGTTGGTCCCATGCCTAGCAGTTTGTCTCAGTGTGGGTCCCTTTCCTGGAAGGAAGCCTAGCAGGTTAATTTTCAGAATTCCTGCAGCTACATTACCCCAACCCCTCAGCACTTTACCACAAGCCCTTGCACTCTTAGGCTTTTGGAGAAGACATATCCCTTCGGCTTCAATTGCTGTCTTCAACCTGACTGGCTCGACCTTCCAGCAAGTACATTTTGGCTATTTTGAAGTTCTCCAGATGCCTCATTGATTGCCTTTGCTGATAACACAAACATCTTAGGACAGCTCCTGCCTTGCTAGTACCACTTGCTTCTATTTTGGAAATCATAGGGCTATCATTTCCTTTAGAGTTTGTGTTAATGCTGCCCTTGGGTTTTTGGTTTTCATGTAGTTGTTTTGTCTGTTCTTATATGGGGACTGAAAAAATACTGTTGCTGTCATCTTCCCAGAATTCCCCTTCAAGAAACGGATTTTTAAAACTACTTAATAGCCATTGTAAAAACCATACATTCAGTCAATGGCACAGTTGCGTAGGCCTCATGTACATTTCTAACCTCTGCCATGGCTACTTTCACCTGGACTATTTTAACAGCCCCACAACCAGTCTCCCAGATTCTACCGTGCTGTACCACTCCAGCAGTCGGAATTATTATTTCAAAATGTTAGTCATATCACTCTCATCTCAGAACACTGAAAAGCTTTTTCAACTTCCAAGGCCCATGTGATCTGGCTTGTTCTTTCCTTCCGATCCCCTCTCCCACAGAATTAGGCTGCTTCAGCTGCACTGGCCTCAGACACCACACAGGCTCTTGCCTCAGTACCTTGACACTGCTAAAATCTCTGCCTGAAAAAGCTTTTCCTCTGATTTCCACCTGGCTTGCTCCCTCACTTCTTTTGGCCTCTGCTGAATGTCATCTGACCACAAAGTCCTCCACTGGCCACAACTAACTCTCCATTAAGAAACAGTACCCTCTTCCTTGCCCCATGTTTAGCTTTAGTCACAACACTTGTTACCACCTGACATTAGATCTTAATTTTTTATATCTTTCAACCCAGAATGAAATGCTGTGAAAGTAGGAACTTTATTTTTTTCGGTACTGGGGATTGAACTCGGGACCTTGTGCTTTCGAGACAGGCGGTGGATTAGTGTCCCGGACAAAGTCGGCATTCCATGCAATTTGTTAAGTGACTGTATGAGTCGCTAAATTAATACATAATATACTTGGCACATAATAGGCATTGAAGAAGTATTAGCTCTTTTGTTCTCTTGTCAAGGAAAAGGAAGTGATCTTTATTTCCCATGATAGAAGAATCAATAATGGAAACGTGTAGTCAGGAAAAAGAGGAAGCAGGTCAAAATAGTGACAGAGAGAAAAAAAAAGGGTAGTCAATTATATCATAGAGTAGTCAAAGGGATCAGGAGCTGAGAAAAGGCTGCAAGATGTGTGCCATGGACTCAATTATGTCTCGACAAAATACATACATTGAAACTCTAATGTCCAACAGGACTCCATTTGGAGATAGGGCAAGCAAGAGGTAATAAAGGTTAAATGAAGTCATGTGGGTGGGGTCCTAATCTGGTAGGAGTACTGTCCTTACAAGAAGAGACTTCAGAGGGCTCAAGTTTCAACTGCCCCCACCACCGCAATGTGAGGACATAGCAAGAAGGCAGCCACCAGCAAACCAGGCACAATCAAAACCTTCCCAGTCCTGGACCTTGTTTTGGACTTCCCAGACTACAGAAACGTAGAAACGCATTTCGGCTGCTTAAACTACCAGTCTGTGGTATTTTGTTATGGTAGCCTGAGCAGATAAATCCATTACACACCCAGAAAATTTCATAAAATTTAGTGTTGTCAATAACCAATCTAGAAAGCAGAGCTTTTTCTGCTTTTCAGTTATATATGACCACATACACAGAGTTGTAGATCCTAAGAAAACCATTACAGCAAAAGCCAAATCACAGAATGACATAAAGCGTAAAGGAAAATCCACAAAGGGGCCTGGGATTTAGCTCAGCGGCACAGCACCTGGCCTGGCAAGCACGAGGTCTTCAGTTTAAAAAAAAAAAAGGAAAATCCACAAAGTGCTTGAAAAGTATTTGTGGGGAAAAATCCATTTAATGCAGAGAAAGAACATAAGAAAATGCGCTCACGACTTATATAACCTAATAGGATCAGCATGGTAAAGTGCAACTGTGCAAAATGGAGTTTTCTTTTACTCAATCAGGTTGGCCAGAGAGATCAGTAGAGTTCTAAAGCCGGAGGGGTACAGGAAAGGAAAGAAGGGAATGGAATTAATATGAGAAAATGAAAAATGGAAACAAAGTCTTTGTAAATAGGGAGGGATGGAAGGGTTGAAGGGAGGGCAGGGGAAGAGGGAAAAATAAGAACCAAGAGAGATTAAGGTGCAAATTTCTAATGATGAATGTAATTATATTGTATACCTAAAATGTACCAATAAAATAAAAATTTTAAAAATTTTTAAAAATCACACTTTCTCCTGGTCAAAAAAAAAAAAAAATTTCATTTACTACAACCTACCAAACCTCCTAGTTTAACCTAGCCTATCTTAAACATGCTCAGAATACTTATACTTACATTAGCCTACCGTTGGGTAAAATCATCTACCACAAACCCTATTTTATGAAGTGCTGAATATATTGTTTAGTGTACTGAATACTGAACTAAAAAAAAAAATAAAGCCAGAAAAAGAGCGTATTTGAATCTTCGCTTTAATTTTTTCACGTTAGCCACATTAGCAACACTTGTCAGTGCGTTTGTGATTTGTATGGCCACACCAGGGTTCCCTTGTGACATTAATTATAAAGTGGTGGATTGGGGTTTTACTCTTTAGAGTCCAGTAAATAATAAGAACCTGCTCTCAACTAATTGACTCACCAGACGTAACAACACTAGCTTCCTCCCACCAAAGGCTCCTTGGGATCAGAAATATGGTATGAGTTTAGAAATGCCCCGAATTCGTCTTGGAAGTTCCTCTGTTCTTTGGAACTAAAGGGCAGATCTTCTGTTCCACAGCCGACTTAATCTCATCCCCAGCCCCTAAGCCCCACCCACCCACTGGTGGGGTCTTACTCTTGCTGGGGTTTTGATCATTTATTTGCTCGTTAACATCTTTATACAAAAAGATGGGCAACTTGCCTATTATCTTTTTTCGCATTAAAGTTTAACAAGAAGGGCAGACATAAAAGAACCAAATTAAGAAGTCTGGACTGCCTGCCAAAGTCATCTATCTGTCCAGTCTCCACGGCACATGCCACATCTGAGCATCCTACAGAAAGCAAGGGTCAGCTCAACTGGTAGGGAGACTTCACTGTCTAAAAGTTTTGCGCAGACAACAGACGGTATGACGGAAGAAAATTCTTCCCAAGGGTGGGAACTTAATCATGGGCAGTACGGCCCGCGATGAACGCCTGAACTCGGTCACCTTTGGAGGCATCGGTGTCGGTTCCCCACAGTGCGCAGGGTAACTGCCCTGACTCCGGGGTACCGGAGTCCCCTTCCCTCGTCCCGGGCTCTTCCCCACGACTTCAAAACAGTGCTTGCCCAGGCTGAATGATTAACGAGCAGCAAAGGAGATGTCCCGCGAAACGGAGGCCTGGGAAGAGACGCTACGCCGCCGCAGTAGCCTCGGCTGGCCGCCAGACCGCCGCGAGCCGCCGTAGGTCGCCGCCGGGCCGCACAGAACCCTACGGGCCGCCGTAGTGGCGCCCTCTCAAGGCCGCGCTCTTAAGATGGCTACCCGGCTCCACTTTCCTTGGTGCCCTCTCAGGGTACGGCAGGCGTTTGGCTCAACCCTTGCGTTTTAGCGCCAGCTCGACCTAGAAGGTGGGAGCAGCGGGCCGCCGGCCTTACGCGCGCCGTCTCTCGGGGCGGGGCGCCGGGCCCCTTCCGGGGATGCGCCCCGGGGCTCGCGTCGGCCCAGCTCGGCCTCGGCTCCTCCCTGCACGGGCGGGCGCTGCGCCATCTCCCCGCCCGTCAGTCCGCCCGGCGGGGCCGGCCGCAAACCGGGCCTGGGCAGCCGAAGGGGAGCTCTAAGCCCAGAGGCGTCGGGAGGCGTCGGTGCTGCTGCTGGCCCGCGGCGGGGCCGGGGCGGAAAGGCAGCGGCGTCATGTTCTCGCTGAAGCCGCCCAGACCCTCCTTCAGGTCCTACCTTCTGCCGCCGGCTCAGGTAAACACCCCTCGCGGCGAGCGCCCCTCTCCTGGCGGTTCCGGGGAGCCCCGGCTGGATCCAGGAGCCGCGGGATGCCGGACGCTGCGCCCCGCGGCCCCAGCCCCAGCCCCAGCCCCGCGCCGAGCAACGCGCCTCCTCCGAGCCGCCGCTTGCGCCGTACAAACTTGTAAAACTCTGCCGCAGCCATTCTTTGCCTGAAGTAGACTTGTCCTTAGCGCTGCGGCGTGACGAGCCCCAAGAGAGGGCTCCGAGCTGGCTTTACTGTGTTTAGTTCCTAGCAGGGCGACGGTCCCCGCCGCGACCGCCTGCGGGATTGCGGCGTTTGTGGGCATCTGGCAGAGGAGGTAACCTGTCTGTCACAAACAGGGACACTTGGAAACGGCACAGACCGAATACTTTTATGGTCAGGTTTCCAGGTCAATAAGGAACAGATCTGAAAAAGCACTCGGTTAGGACCTGATTAAAACATGGAAGTTTCTGTTAGGGACATACGTGTCTGTCCCGAGTGGAATGTCATCACTTAGTACTTATGAGGGGGGAATCTGAGATTTCTTTTAATTTGTTAATGTATTTCAGACTGACGATAACATAAATTCGCAGCCGAAGATTAAAAAACTGGAGCCAGTTCTTTTGCCAGGTAAGCATTAAAGTTACGATAGATACCTTAGTAATACACTTTGGTCTAAGATTATTTTACCAATTAGTATCAAGTACTTAACATTTCTCTTTCATTTAAACTCTCCAGTTAAAAATCTAATAACTGAGAGGAAGGACTTGGTTAGAAATGATTCGTGTTTATCCCTGAGAGTTTAAAGCATCATAGAAAACTGTCAAGAATATCACTAGTTCATTTTCTTTTTTTCTTCTGAAATGTTCTTTTTGAAGGAGGTATATCATTAATTGCTTGGGTAGTGAAAGTACATTTTAATGTGTTTTGCTAGTATGAAAAACAACTTTTGTTGTATCTCAGTCTATACTAATCACAAGGCTTAGTGAACTTTGAATTACCTACTTAGCAGTTGTTTTTTTGAGTGTGTCAGCTCTATTTGCAAATTTGCTTGTTTCAGTTCAGAACAGGATTTTCCCAGCAGAGGCACTAAGGACACTTTGGGCTGGATAATCCTCCCGTCGTGGGGGCTGTTCTCAGTTTGACAGCATTCCCATCCCCTACCTGTTAGATGCCAGTGGTACTGCCTACCTTGCAACCTAGTTGCCTCAACCAAAGTCTCCAGGCATTGCCACATCTTTTTGTGTACTTACATGCACAGACCTCCAAGGAGACAGAAATCTCATCCAGGTTGAGAATCACTCGCTGTTCATTAGAATAAAATTTACCTTAGAGGACCTCAGAGATACAGAGGTAAGGGTTGCTGGTAGACAGGAGTTTCCTTTTAGAAAATACAAAAAATAACGTTTGATTAGTGTTTTGAAATGTGTAACAGTTAGGAAAAGTCATCTGTTTAATATGATTATGGGAAGTAGCTATGTTGGGAAGCCTATTTTAAATCTGAAATATAATCAAGTACAAGTTTGTGTGGCCACTATCAACATTTAAAAATATCAGAGTAATTACTTAAAGCCAAATTTAGTGAGTAACTAGAACTTGAAAGGTAGTAACTGAACAAATTTAAAACCTTAAACAATTTATTTATTTTAAAAGTAGGGACAAACACATTAAAAAGTCAGCCTTTGGTTAGGGTAAGAGTAAAAAGGTTAGATAGCTAGCTCTTACAAGTTTTTTTTTTTTAACTTTATTGTGGGAGTTAAGATATAAGTATTTACCCTTGATCGTGTTAACATTTTCCATCCAAATAGTGTGTACTAATTAATTGTATTTTTCCTCAGGGTGGACAGTAGAATTACTAAGTAGCCCTTGTCCCCTGTGTGTGCACTGTTTTAGTCACTCCGTGCATTTTAAAGACAGCAGAGGGAATATTAGTGCCTGTGAGCTGTTGAACTTTGGCTTTAATTTGAAAAGCCTGCTTCTTAGGCATTCATTCTCTCCTCCTGACACTCAGCTTTGACACTTACAAACAACAGCGCCTTAGCTACAAATATTAGTTTTTGGTATTTTACTGAAAACTGTTACTAATTATCAATAAGGTTGAAGAATTTTCTTGGTAAAGGATTATATCTTCTTTAAAATTGTGAAAAACTTACCTTTCCTCTAAAGTCAGAGTTCCTGGGGCAGATTTTAAACCTAGTTCTTGACTTGGAGTCATTTACTTGCACTAGAAATACTGGTAGCAGGTAAATGTGAATCTTCTTTTAGCTGCCCATTAAAGAGCTCTCCGACCTGTGCTAGCTTTACAGCTAAAATACGTACATGCATACATCACGGTTCTGTCACCCAGCATTGTTTGTTCCTGACTTACCGTCATAGAACACTGAGCCAATCTGAATTATAGTGTGCTTTGCCCCCTTCCTGACTCACTCTGTTATTACCTTCTCCTTCTGGCCTTCCTGTACTTCCCTGGTTATGCTCTGTCTGGCCCATTGTGGTCTTCACTTCCTCTTTTACCTCTCATGTCATATTGTGTCACCACTAGAACCTTTGTTGCCCCTTCTTGCCCTGCAGCCTTCTATTCTACCCATGAAATCTGGAGGAAAAGTGGAAAGTAACTGAAGTATTAAGTGATCTACAGGCCTACACTAGAATAACTGGGGTTGTAGTGCCATGGTAGAGTGCCTGGGTTTGATCCCCAGAACCACAGACAAAAATACAACAAAATCATAAAGACCTAGGCAAGGATAGCACTTTTACCTAGAGGGATTGAATAATATAGTTCTGGCCTTTGCAGCAGTTAGAAATCAAGAGAAAAATTGGCCAAGTCACCTGTGGCTTTACCCAGGCACACAGAACAAGAAGTAATTGTTCAGAGATATAGTATCGCATGCTATGCTTTGGCATAGTGCCTTGCTTCCAAGGATATCCTACTTCAGTTGCCCGAAGTTTGAACTTCTAATTCAATAAGCAGATGAAAATTGAAACACAAAATCAATTGTTTATTTGTGTGCAGTCACTGTGTGCTCTGTTAGAACTTAACAAGGCTAAATTTTAAATGATCTCATCTTTTATTAAGTAAGGAAAATTGTAGAAAATGACCAGTAATTTAATTTAGATTGTGGTATATGCTAGTGATTTTCAACTTTTCTGGTTTGTGAAAGTCCTCTAATTGAACTTTGCGGTCCCGGTGTCTAACATAGTGCCTGAAATATGATAGGCCCTGAGATATTTACTGAGTGAATGATTGAATAAAAGCATCTCTCAGACCACCTGCTTAAACTCTACCTGCGTCACACACATATACACAGAGAGAGAAATTCCCAGATTTAGAAGAGAAAGCCCTATTTCATTTCAGACATCTCAAGAGAATTATATTTGAGTATAAAACTGAAATAAAGTACTCTTGTCAAAGTATCCTTTCTCCGCCAGGCGTCGTGGTACAATTTATAATCCCAGCACTTGGGAGGCAGCTGGGGCTATATAGTGAGTTCAAGGCCAGACTGGACTACATAGACCCTGCCTGAAAGAAAGAAAAAAGAAAAAGACCGGCCTTGCAAAGTGCAAGGTCCTGAGTTTGATCCCCGTTACCGAAAAAAAAAAAAGGCCTTTCTCTTCATCATCACATCTTAGAAGAATCTTGATCTTTTAATGACTGCATTTGTATGTGTAAAAGTACTCCAATACTCTTTGAAAATACAACATGAATTTTAAAGGGTGCATGTGTCATGTTTATGTTCCAGCATAGATAAAAGCATGTAATGTCAGACTGTGCTCGCATCTTTTTTGGTAACTTGTGAACATCCCCTGAGCACCCGGTTCTGTGTAGGTGGGACAGTCTGGAGGTGTGGTGTGCCCTGGTCACCTGGGGCCTCGAGTGGGCTTTCAGGCTGCCTGCAGACTGGGAGCAGATTGTGACATGGACCAGTGGTTCCCAAATTCATCCAGCCCCAGGCATCAGATCTGGGTGATGGTTTTGCCAGCCCTTAATCAAAATGAGAAAATTACAGAGAATGCAGCCTTCTTTCATAAAACAAAACTTGAGTTAATAGTTTCCTTTATTCTGAGATTATGGCCTTCCAACTTCTTTTGTATAGGTATATTCTTCTGTTAAATTTGGTGATAGTAGCTGTGACTTCAGAAAATTTTAAGTTGGCAGAATACCAGATTAAAAACTCTGTATTGGGGGCTGGGGATTTAGCTCTGGTTCTGGTGCCTGCTGCACAAGCACAAGGTCCCGATTTCGATCCCCGGTACCAAGAAAAACCCACCAAAAAACAAAACTCTGTTTTGGTCCCTATTTTTTTGTGTGTATACCTGGTTTGCATTCTAAACTGGAAACCACTGGATGAGATAATTACAATATGGATACAATTTAATGACCATTCAATTATTTTGTCTGCCTAGGAATCCTTCCACTATCTTCCCCAAAAATGCATCCTCCCTCTTTTGACCAGTTGTAGTCCAACAACCACACTTGGTGTGGCCAACAAGGATAATTACCCCACCCCCCACCCCCCACAAGTGTGTGCACAGATGTGCCTCCAGATGTTGTCAGGTTGATACTAAAGGAAAGCATCCTCTTTTGGTCATGTTGCCAGAGGCCACAATTCCAGAAAACCCGTCTCAGAGAGTGAGAAATTCCGAGGGAGTGTACTGATGTTCAAATCTCTAGATTTTGTAATCCTTGAGGTCCAGCTAACACAAAAGCCACAGAATCCTCCTTTTTGCTGAGCTAGTTCCAGGCATAAAGATCCTTCACTAACATGGTTTATAGGTTAATCCTCATAAAAGCCCCATGAAGTAAGGTACCAATTTATCTTCATTTGGCAGATGCGAAAACTGCAGATTGTGGAGGCTGAGTAACTTGCTCAGTGCGGCAGAGCTGGCGAGGTAGAGCCATACTTCTGTGCCTGTCTCCCTGGCCGTGCCTTTAGCCACTGGGCATAGAGCCTACCTGGCTGTGCTGGTGACATTAGGGTATAGATTTATGCTTTGGAACTGTTGAAGGGTAGATTGGCTGTCACCTTAGAGGGAGTTCTCTAGTGAGGTAAAATTTAAAAGATGAACCCTGACCTTGGCTCAGCCTTTTTCACAGCAGTGACAGATTTTGACCAAGCTTGAGGAAGAACTCTTAAACAGTTTCAGCTGCCAGAAAATGGACTGTCTTGAGAGGCAATGGGCCTCCTGTCCCTGACTACACAAGCAGAGGCTGGTGGAGTGCCAGTGGCTCTGTAATGAGGATGGGAGATTTGTAGTGAGTGAGGCTTGATGGCCTTTGCTTTCATCTAAGCCCAGGGCACGATCTTTTAAAGCTCTGGGGATGGAGGACAAAGAGTTGAAATGTTAGGAATAACAGTAGTGAATTACTGTGTTCAGCAGGTACTGAACACATTCTAGGCACTGCATGGCAGAGGGGTGAGAAGCTGCAGGGACAAGGCCCTGGCCCGAGTTTCCGTTCATAGGGAAGTCCTTCACACAGGGGAGCAGAGGCTGTGAAAGCTCAGCAGAAGGCCATCTACACCTAGTTTGAGATAGGGCAAGGGGTGTCAACAAAGGCTTCTCAGGAAATGTTTGTTCTCTGAATCTTGGGTACCTGGTAAGCCTCAGCAGCTATTCTAAGGCTGTGTCAG